CTGCTGCTGCTGCCGCTGCTGCTGCATCTTTAAAGGAGAACACCACTCATTTAAAAAAAAATAAAAATGGATGCATTTTATTTTTACTTTTTGGAACTGTGCAGTCACCATCATGAAAAGCAACAGCTCAGCCCCAAAATGACAAGAAAGACAGTTGAAAGTAAAGAGTTCATTTGCAAAAACCGATAACTCCATTTTTGTAGATTTTCCAAAAAAAAAAAATTTTTTTGTTGTTTGTATATAATATCAATCAAACTGAAGTTAAGTGGATTTGACTCAGCAGAAATTACATGACAAAACAGAGATAATTTAAGTTTGATTGATATTGTCTCAGCTAAATGATGGAAAAGTGAGTGTTCTGAAGGTTTGGGAAGATGGAGTTATCTGTTTTTGCAAATGAACTCATCAAATGTTCCTTAGATGATTAAATTAAATTCTAGGTTGTCAATAAACAGAGAATGTCTGAATATGACTGAGTTTACATTCTAAAGGCACATCTATCCATCCATTTTCTATACACAGGTTTATCCTGTGTGGGGTCGTGGGGGGCTGGAGTCTATCCCAGCTGATGAATGGCGAAAACAGGATACATGTTGGACAGATCACCAGTCCATCTCAGAGCTACACAGACAGACAACCAAGCACATGGACAACTTAGAATCATCAGTTAACCTCAGCATGTTCTTTGGACTGTGGGAGGCGAGAACCCATTCTGCATAGGGGGAACATGCAAACTCCACACAGAAAGAATCCACGTCGAGATGCAAACCAAGGACCTTCGAGCTTTGAGGAGACAGTGCTAACCACTGCAACACCTTGCCGCCTTCGAACGTGTAACGGAAAGAATATTTTTATAGTTAAGCTCTGAAAAGAACAACAGCTGAAGCAGACATTCAGTTCAAGGGAATACAGTTACCTTGTGAAAAATCAAGCACTGTTCTCAATATCCACACATGCACATTCTTGTTCAGTGCAAGAATAATTATCACTTGCGTCTGTGCCGTTTTCTTATGGTTTTGACTGTCCAAATGTAATTTTACAAACAGTCTTCATCATAATTTCCTCATATAACCTGCAATAGATAGCCAGCATTCTTAGACAGAGCCACATTTGGCATGATTATGTAAAATCCAGAGTCTATTTTGTGGACTTGTGTCAACATTATCATGTAGTTTTATGTAAATATGGACATTATCGTGCTGTAATGTAGCTGTTTCCTTTTCATACAATGTTCTTCTAGCAAATTCAGCCGGTGATTATAAAAAGACTCACAGTGTACATTATACTCAGTCAAATGTTTTCTGGCCTGCAGGCAGTGATTCAGAGAGAAATGGATACTGTGTTAGAGCCGCCACGCTCTCCTGGGAGATGCAAATTAGATGACGATCATGCTAATGCATGTAATGATGGACCACAGTGAGTGTAGCTCCACAGTGCAGTCAGCAGTCAGAAATATATAGACTAAGTCTAAATATTAATCAAGGGAAGGGTGATGAGATACTTGCCCGTTTTATTTTTGGCAATTTTGATATTTTAGGTATATTTAAATATACCACCAGAATGGCAACATCACCCCCTGATGGCGTCGGCCTCCCTCAGCAGGACAATGCACCCTGCCAGACTGCAAGAGCTGCTCAGGAACGGCTCGAGGAACACAGAAAAACAGCCAAAGACCCAACCTCTAAACTCTCCAGGTGCCAGTGTGATCAAGCATCTGTGTGATGCACCACAATAAGTCTGATCCACAGAACAACTCACAGAACCCAAAAGATACGCTGCCAACATCCCAGTACCAGACACCACAGGACACACCAGAGGTCTTGTTTTCATGCCCCAACAGGTGCTGATTTGGCAGCACAAGGTGGACACAACATGGTTAGACTGTTTAAATGTTGTGGTTTAGTTAGTTAGTTAGTGTGTGTACATATGTGATGCATGAAATAACAGAAAAAAATCACTGCCATGTCCAAATTAAAATAAACAAAACAACAAAAACACACACGCACACACACACACACAAAAGTTTTCCTTAAGGTTACGGTGAGAATAAGAAAATGGACATTTGCAATTATCCACTGAAAGGAAAATAGCAGGGCTGCCTTACTGCATGATCCAAATGCTCAGAACAACTTTAAATTGCCTGTAGGTTGTTGTTGTTGTTGTTTCCTGTGGTAAAGACAACAGTAACACGCAGACAACAGAAGTGAAAAACAAAGCTGGTTGAACTGAGCAAGCACTGGCAGGCTTATACCCACATCCTGCATCAGAGTCAGAGAGGTACTAACTTAAAAAATAGGCGGGTCTAAAAGCCGCATCCTTTGCTTAGCTCCGCCCATGATGACTGTGACTGGTTTAAAGAAACACAAACAGGCCAGAGTGTTTTCTGCCCTACAGCAGACTGGTAGCACGGTGCAGCTGACTGTAGGCAAAGAGAGACTAAGTTAATACTAACATGCTGCACCACTGCAACTCCTGCACCCCCCCAGTCTGACTCCACTACTACTATCAATTAAAGCCATTTAATCCCCAAAAAATAAATATTTAGAAGTCTTTTCAAAATGCACTCAGAACCAAGCCCCACTGTTTACCACATATTGTCCAACTTCCTTCCCTTCGCAAGAGCAATGAGCTGCTGGATTGTGCTGCAGCATCGGCTCTTTAAAGGCTTGTTTTCACTGGGTGGTTTTGTTATTTTCGGTCCACTTTCATTTTGGTTTTCATTATTTGCAAAACTGACATAACTAAGAGCAATATTAATGGCTGTTGAATCTGGAGCAGTGAGCGAGGTGAGGCCCGATCTCGTGGCCGGATGTGTCCAATGACAGCTGAGGGGAGAATGGAAAGAGTGTTGTAGTACAAACTGTGCACGCTTTTCTTTTTTTTTCTTTTTTTACTTGTTTCCATTTCATTCTTAACCCATACAGTTCCTTCAATTTAAGATGATTTATTTGCTTTCAAGTTATTTTTTTTCCCCCAGAATATTTATTGTAAATATGCATGTGTTTATGTCTAAGATAGCGGTTCAATGTGAAACAGAAGACCAGAACTGCCCTGTTTAATTGCACCTTTAGAAGATGCAAGTGTGTGCCAAAACCTAATGCTTTTCTGTTATTTCGTTATAAACCAAGCACATTACATTATGGAGGAAGAGCCACATTCTGTTTTCATTATAGCATTCAGATTGGTTTGATCCCAACCTACAGCCTACCCATCCCTCTGCTTCCTGTATGTACTGTAATCAGCCACTGCAACCAACTTTGGCTTCTGTTCATTCACACAATACCACAGCATAAACACTCCGGCTGAGATTGAAGGGTAGAGATGGACACAGAGAGGAGGGAGGGAGGGAGAGAAATATGGACAGAAGAGGAAAAAAGACAGAGAAATGGAGAGTGATGAATGCTGACTGTAACATTGTGTAACTCTGACAGATTATTCATTGTGCTATTAGTTTTCAGCAGCAGCTTTCTGTTGCCAATCTACACAAAAGAGGCATACCAGCAATGGCAGTTGGGTTTAGAGTTTTCAGTAAGGTACTACTGAGGATTAGAGACTTCATAGTTGAGTTTTACGTAGGTTGTCAACCTTTAACCGCTGTACATTTAAAGTAGGGAGCAAAATTTAAAGGTCACTCAATTGCTTGGAAATGAGAGTTAAGTTGCACGATCGTGGCTAATAAAATCCAAAAGACTTTAAGTAGGAAAAGCAGATCAGAGTTTGGGACCATAATGTCTTTCCATACATACAGAGATCAGGCTTTTTTTGATCTCATTACTTTATTCCCAGTCTTGTCTTTCCTGTCTTTTTCTCTATTTGCTGTCTCTGCACTTTTTTTTCCCTCATCTTTCAGCAGAAGACAAATTGTTAAAGTGAGTGTAAGCGAGTAAAGCAGCAGCTCCCCTAATGCAAATCCATGAACCTCACCTTCATCAAAAAAAAAAAAAGTCACTCCACCCTAAAAATGTGAATCCCCTGAGGACAAACTACTTGCAGGCCCTCGAGTGTCGCAGCTTGTGCACATAAAAGCATTCAGCCACGGCTGAATAAACCCATTTCCCGACTTCATCCACAAACTCAGCCTGACCTGCCAGCTTCCAGCTCTGCGGCTAAACCACCTCCCGGCCTGCTGTCCAGGGACGAACACAAGAAGGAGGAGGAGGAGGAGGAGGAGTGAAGGGAGGAAGATGTAGTGAGAAAGGCAAACTCTTACTTCACCATTGAAGCTTCACAGCTTATTACTGTCAAGGAGGTGGTTGAACAAAACATGATATTTTTTTTTGCAAATGCAAGACCCAGTTGCATCTCTTGCTGTTAGGTTGTTCTGTCATGCAGGTAAATGACAAAGAATAGAAAAAGAAAAAGTCACCCATCGTGGAAAACCTGGAAATTGGAGGAGATTTTTTATTTTTTGGTATGTGCAGCTGATCCATGTGAGAACCAAAAAAAAAAAAAAAAAGATATCTCAGAAGAAAATCTGTTAAATAATTTGATCATGCTCTTTGTTATGCAAAAGATTGACCTCTGACACAGTTGAACAACTGTGAGTTCATGTAGTTTGGTCACATTTTTGCAGAAAAGAAAACAAAAATGGGTTAAATAAGTTAATTTGATATTTGATTGTACAGTCAAAGATCGTGGCTTTATTGCTCCTGCCAGATTCTTTTTTTTCTAATATGTAGACAACATTCATATTGATTAGAATGTCAGTTTCTTCGGGCTCTGCGGGTGATGCAAGTTCTGTTTTAGGGCGGACTTCCCCTGGAACACATCAGCGTGCAGCCAAAACAAACTCCTGCTGATGGTTTGCCTCTTGCCTCCGGTCTCTCTGGCCTGCTTCTAGACAGCAGCCGAGGGACCCTCAGCGCTCAGAGGGAGGAGTGCAGCTGTCCTTCGGCCCTCCCACCGGCTATAAGACCAGAGACAGACGGAAACACTCAGACTGCAGGCACACGTGGAGCAAAGAGGCAGAGACAGAGAGAGAAAGACGAAAGAGGGAGACCAATAGAGAGCAAGAGAGCGTGAAGCTGTTGGCACAGAGTAGTTTTTTGCTAGTTTGGCTTTCGGGATTGAAACAGAGCAAATATAGAAACGAAGAAGAAAGAAAGAGAAGCAAAGAAAACATGCCCTTATAAATTTTGTTTATCCCAAAGGAATAACTGGAGGAGAAACTGATCTCTGGGATGTGAAGGGTTTTTGTATGAACCAAGAGAGAACCACAAGAAGGACCTGGAACCTGCAGCTACCTGTGACCCAGCAGCTCTGAGGTCAAGTGGCTTTGACCACTGCTTTAGGACCAACTCGCTGATGCTTCACTGTCAGTTAAAGGAGGTTATGAACCAAACCTAACGCAGACTTATAAGAGAGACATCTAATTTGCCTTGCTTAAAATTTTTTGCAACTACACGAAGTTTGGTGCAAATAGCGCTGGTGGACACCTTTAGTCTGCAGCATCAACGAACTCAGTTCAGCAACTTTTGATAACAAACCTCAACAGCAAGCACCTTGCTTTGAGGAAGCCTCCACAGGACTGACCAATAGCTACTGCAGCGAAGATGACATTTGCGATGCTGCGCACAGCGCCTCCCGCAGGTCGCTTCTTGTACGGCGACATCGCCCTCCTCTCTGAAGACGAAGACGAGAACGGCAGCGAGGGGTCGGGCTCCGAGGATCGCACCACCAACTCCTCCAACTCGGCCGCCTTCCGCCTGTCCTCCTCGTCCCCATCTGCCTTTCACATCAAGGTGAACAGGAAGAGGAAGCTGTGCGCGGGCATAGGGGGTGGAGGGGTAGTAGGCGTTGGGGGCATGGTGGGGAGGCTGGGCCCCCCAGGCTCATCTCCCCCTGGGGAAATTCGTCAGAGGACCGCAGCCAACGCACGGGAGAGAGATCGCACCAATTCTGTCAACACGGCGTTCACAGCGCTGCGCACACTCATCCCCACCGAGCCTGCAGACAGGTACACAGTCCTGGAATTCTGTCTGATGCACCAATAGGATTTCCATCTGGTACCCAAAGTTAGTAAATGATAGGACAACAAACTGGTCCAAGATACAGCTGTGGGCAACAGGCACCTTTAACCATAATTTGGGGCAGCTGCTTAACTGAGTAATCATTGCCACACTTCAACATCAAGCATCATTGTCTTTACTCTTTCTACAGTCTTACTACATTTTGGAAATGTTGTATAAAAAGTGTAGCACGTCTCCAATTCCATTGTAAACATTTTTTTTCTGTACTAATACCACAAATGTTTGGGTGATTGCAGGAAGCTATCAAAGATCGAGACGCTACGTTTGGCCAGCAGCTACATCAGCCATCTGGGGAACGTGTTGCTTCTGGGCGAAGGGCTTCACGACGGACAGCCGTGCCACGCTCCCTCACCGCCGTTCTTCCACGTCAGCTCCTCCCCCGGCCGAGGATCCGACCAATCAGCTCAGCCCAAGCACATCTGTACTTTCTGCCTCAGCAACCAGAGAAAAATGGTGAGCAGAAAATGATAAGCCAGTAGAGGCAATTAAGAGAAATCTGGGAATTCTGTCAAATAAACATAGTGTTGCCTCTCAAAAAACATGTAAACTTTTAAAAGTAAATTGTAGCAAATACGCAAAACAACAACAACAACAACAACAACTTTTGACTATCTTGATTTTAATTTACATTCATAAAGATTTAGCTGAAGACGAAGCTGATTATTGACACTGTGTGGTGCTTTAGGTCAGTTTGAGGTTTAAAACTGACCTGAGATCAGTGACTGTGCCTGTAAACCTGATTGGCCCCGAGGGATTTTAAAAAGCGAAACCTCTTTTAAAGTCCTCTGTTGGGGGTGAAGGACTGTGTGTTATTGTACTGTTGGGGCTCAGTTTTACTTGAGCAGGTGGCTTGAAAGTTCAAGGTGGTTTCTGAAAATCACTGAACATTACAGTTCATAAAAACGATGTTTTTCTATTTTATTTTTTGCATTTTTTACTGTAATGCAAACGAAACGTGCACAACCGTCATGTCTCACCCCATCTATGGTGTATTTTTTTTTCTCTTTTTATAAATATGAATTTAAAGTTTACAAGGGTATTTATGCAGCGAGCGAGATTTATGACCGGGAGCTCATGAAATCCATCCAAAACCATGTGTATAATTTTAAGAATGTATTGACGTCAGCCTGAATATGAGACGGTTTTAATCATAACTGTTGAGGAACTGACCTGAGACACACCGGCTGGTCACCGGCAGTGACCTTGTTCTACTGAAACTCAATGCCGCTGCACAAAACACAGGTAAATATAAAAGTAAATATCATTTGAGGACAATGGATGATTTCAAAATATTTTTTTTCTGCTATGACAAAGCCACAAACTATCTTGTGTTGATTTCACACATATCTACACCTTAATGCAAATACAGAAAGGTAGAATTTATCAGCTGTGAGTTACATTGGATTGATTTAGTGCAGGAAACTGAAACAGTCTGATGAGAAATAACAAGGAATGAGGTACTGGCATCAGCTGACTGAAGTTAGATATATATGACCCCAGCTCCGATTTTGACAAACACCCCAGATGATGATAGAGAGGTGACATCCACTCGACTTTCCCCCTCTAACCCATAGCTGCTGCCCATTTAGCAGGATTTATGGGTAAGGAGCTGACATCTGGCAGACTCCCCCGTTACCCCAGCAGTATGTGAAAGCTAATACCCTCCTCAGTGTCTAAACCCAGAGACCCTTTAGCTGGGGGATAACCTGAGTCTCAGCAGTCTCCCCCCACTCCTGCCTCTCCTCTGAACTTCTGCAAGTGAAAGCCTAGACGTCCTCGGTGTCCAAACCCAGACACCCTCGGCTGGGAGATAACTAGCCTGAAACCTTCTCTCTCCTCTGTCTCCTTTTCTTTTTCGCTGTCTGTCCTCCCAGACTCCCTCATTTTTATTCTCTTCCTCCGTACATCTCATTCTGTTTCACTCTTTCTCCCCCCTCAACTCGTGCCTCCCCCCCGCTACCATCACCTCTGTGCATATCGATCAGCCTGGTGGAGGTCAGAGATGTCAGGAGGAGCTGTGTAACACTATCTACTGCTGTCAAGTCGCCGCTGCAGATGCACGACTGACCTGTAAACGCATGCTGCGTAGAAAACAATTTTGAAACTTTCTCATGTCAAAACACTCCAACAGAGAAGCTTTGACAAAGTCTGTGTTACTTACTGTCAGCTGCATGACGCTGTTTCCCATTAGCTCAGTGAAAAGTCTCACTATTCTCTCTTGTGTGTTGTGCATATGATCCCAGACACACTTGGAGGAGTGAAATGATGAAGTGAATCCACATGAAAGTCATTACCTCCTATACACACAGGTCACAAACACAGATGAAAAAGATTTTTACCAAGTTGTATTTTGTGCAAAAGGAGCGCAACTTTAACAAATCACAATATTCTCCTAAGTTTCACTGAAAGTAAATTAACTTGTCTTCTAAATCTCGCCCATCATTTATATGTTAATGTCGAGGCTAATCTGCATATGTCATATAATGAAAAACCCATAAAAAGTGCATGTGATGAGTCTTTACCATTTCTAGTTGTACTCAGCACCATCCGCTCCTGCTGGCAGTGGAAAATAGATCACAAATATGTATTTGCATTATTAAATAATTGAGTAATTTCCTAAAATAGCTGGGCACCATATTTTTGTTTTCCAAATTCAAATGGAATATAAATGGAGCCTTTGTTGGCATTCAGTTTCAGTGCTGGATTAATCTACTGAAGCACGTTCTTTCTCTATCTTTGATGCAGCACTTGGTTTTTACAGCAGCAGAATAGTGTCTGTGGTGCGAGTCAAAATAAACTACAGTGCTCATGTTTAATGTGATGAAAGAAGGTGTGACGCAGTGCAGCAGGGTGGCCCTGATCTCTCTGATGAGTTTTTAATAATTTTTTTTTAAAGAGTGAAGCTTTACAGCACAGAAGAAAAATGAGCTTTGGATGCAAACACAATACTTGAGAGAGAGAAAAAAGAAGAAAAATAAGGCATATCACCTCTACATCATCTCACTATATTTACACATGCAAAGCAGGGAGCTTTTTAATAACAAGTCTACAGGGACAAGAATCCTGTAAGAACTCACATCTCAGCTGTGAACACGTTGAATGTACATTTGGCAAAAGAAATTGATGCTATTACCTTTAATGGAGAACAGTAGGGGAGCCCAGATTCACCTGGCACAGAAATGGTTAAGTGTGATTGGCAGAACCTGAGAGCATTTCAGTTTCCTTGGAAAAGTGGTTCTAGTGCGTTTAAGTGGGCTAAAGGGCAGAGTCGGTGCTGGTGATTACAGAGAGGAAACGATTGTGAAGGTAAAATGAGACTTTGTGTCCTGAGTGCTCTCTTTGTATGTTTTTATGGTCATTGAGGTTCATCACAGCTGTCAGCTCTGCTTAGACCGGCCGCTTCAGTTACACTTATTTCCAACGTAGGAGAGGCTGAAAGTGCGAAAAGTATACGGTCATTTCCTCTTATTATGTGTGTATACAGTATAACTGTTTCAAAACAAACAGGCCTGTTAGTAATGACTACTGCACACAGAGCGCACACTGAATATTCTGACTGATGTGAATACTAATGTGATGTCATTTTCTGTGAGACTTTTTAGTACAATTACACACAAGTGAAGGACATACGATTAATTATTTTATCTCCTTGTTACAGTACTGTGATTATCCAACATCGAAAATTATTTTAAAACTTTTTATTGTCGCTGTCCATGTATTCAAAAATGTTAAATTTGTGTTGTCATGTCTGTGGCAACATATTTTCAACTAATTTAATAGCTTTTTAAAAGTTTTTTCAACCGAAGAAGAATTTTCTCAACCCACTATTCATCTCCTTCAGTAATTTAGTTCATCTGAAAAAACTGTGAGGATTTGTAATTTTCTTAAAACGTTGAGGCTTTGCTTCAATTGCGGAGAGGTTTAGAGGCACAAAAAAAATCTCCAATAAATGTAAGTGTTTTTTTCTTTTCTAGTGCTGGTTGCTTACATTTATTCTGTTCATATTACTAAATCTATTATTCTTCATTAAAGTATGTTAGACATTTTTTTTCTGTATCTTTTCATCAGAAGCCAACCTATTCTTGATCATCTTGGCACTGACTTACTAGATTGCAGCTCTGGCATTCTGGTGCCTTTGATATGTTTAGTAAAAAACGAGTCACACTCCTGATGGCTACATCTGTAAATGAGATGTACAGGACTGAGGATAGAGGATTGAGGAGACCTGAGCACTGTTTAAATCCCTGCGCTGTCTGGTTGATTGATGCAGAAATCCTGTGCAAGGCCTCTCTCTCTGCTGTCAGTGCAAACGTCAGGTGCCGGGACTCACTGTACAACTTTTTTTTTTTTAAATATTCAGGGCTTTGTCAGTATCTGCTAGAAATCAGCTTTAATGAGACTGACATGCGTCATTTGGTTGTCTGCAGTGGTGCTTATTTATTTGTACTCTAGATGAAGGCACACAAGGACAGAGCTGTGAGATAATGTTGAGATGACGTTTATTCGTTCATTTTATGATACAAAACCTTTTTTTTCAAGCTGTCTGCTTCTGTCTTTAGTCCACAGCACTCGGTGCATATTTACAGCTTCTTCCGCTACTGCGGTTTATTTCTTTTGGCCCCAAACAGGCAGAGGGTCAATTCAATTCAATGGCAAAAGTAAACAGATACTGTATTTAATCTGCTTTTAAAAGCAATCATGCTGAACTTTTTCCTCCTAAGCTGGAGATGATGAGCAAAAGCATTTTCCAGTATTTGTATTTTAAAGAAGCTCATTTGATGAATTAATAGGGAAGCCTTATGGTTGGAAACAAAGTAAAAAACAATCTGGCAAAAATATAATTACCATGGTGCTTATGGTGTGGTCGCTGTAAATGGACCATTGCTCCTTTTGAAATGGTTAAATTTAGATGACTTTACAAGCATTTTAGGGCACAACCCAGATTTAATTCTGACTTGACAGGCTTTATTTATTTGGAATTTCTTGAAATTAAAAAGAAATGTGTGAATTCAGTGAAACAGCAAGCATAACATTTTTTTTTTTAAAAACCCATGTATGCTGCTCTTAATATGATGAAGAGTTCTAATTTACATGTTGGCTGCTGTAAAACTTTTATATGTGATGATTTTTGTGGGCAGATGGAAAGACGGTGGCACTAAAACTGCACAGTGCAACAGGAAAAGTGACTTATCTCTACTTGTGTGAGAACAAATGAATGTAAAGCCTGCGTATAAGAGAGAAAAAGACAGTGGGGAGAATTTGTATGTGTTTCATATGAGATGAATGTGAGTGACACATCCAGAGTGAATTTTATAAGTATAGTACACACAGACACACATAGACGGGCTCACTCTGGCTGGCTCTCTGTGTCTGGAAGTCATTGGCAGTACAGAGCAGAGCAACAAATGAGCTAATTGTTCTGTAAATGATTTATCCTCTGCTGAGGCTGTACAGCCAGTGTTTAATTCAGCTGCCGCTATTAGAAACACATTGACGTTGGGCTTTGATGGTGATGTTAAAGGAGCCTGGAAACCGCTCTCTGTGAAACGCCCTCCCTGCTTACACTCAAACCCACACAAATGACACATATACACACATGTGGCCACACACTGGCGCACAGTGCACCACACTCAGGGAGGCTTTTATCAAAAGCAGTTCGTTCTACCTCTTCAACTTCTTGTCTTTTCAAGCAGACTGCAGTTCATTGCTTCTTTCAAGACAGCCCCGGCAAAACCACCTATATGATTACTCAGTTAAGGAGCTCTGGATCACGGCTGTGCTTTCAACACTTTCTGAACTAATGGTGTGCAGGAAGTTGTGGAAACAGAGATGGAGAAGGAGAGAAAGCGAGAGAGAGAAATAGCCAACGACTCAGTGGGATAATCAACGGAGCTATTTATCCTCCAGTTTGGACAGTTGGTTTTAGACTGTGCTGAAACTACACTTTGCTTCTTTATAGAGATCAAATGAACCGTGCACCTAAAGAGAGCTTAAATGCATGGATAGGACATGTGCAGCAGCGTGCTAATGACTGTGGTTTTTACAGTTATTTGGATATTAGTCTGTTTTCACTGGAAAAAGCATTGCGTCACTTTTTGTGCATGAAGTTGACGTTTCAAGGTCGTAGATGAAAACTAAATTACCCTCATTTACTGATAATGCTGGTGTTGACTCGGAGGTAATGCTTGGTGCCTTGTGAGGTTCGCCTGTTTGCTCCTCCATTCAAGGTATGCTAATGAGGTGCATGAAGGTAGCAAATACACTGCGGGCAATTTTTAAAATATATTCTCACCCACGTCCTGCGTGTTGTGTGTGTGTGTGTGTGTGTGTGTATGAGCCTGGTTTGGTGTATGACTGTGTGCCTTCAAGCATGAACCTGTCTGTATATTCTCAGCACAGATGGAAGCAGTTAAACCCTAATTTAACACCAACAGCAGAAGTCGGGTCAGATAACTAACAAAATCTATTAGCAAAACTATCATTCTGTTGTCATTCGGTCTTCAGGGAGAAGAGCAAATTAAAACAAAACTACAGAAAGCTGAGCCAGGTGAGGGGATCCACAACAGAGAAAATTGGAAGTTTGAACGATGCTTTTCGAACTGCATTTACTGAAGCTAGAGAACAGTTGGCTGTTTCAGGGTTTACATCTTAACACTGATGATAAAGGGATGGTTCATGCATAATGCAGCAGAATTAAGTGGTGAAAATGAAGTCGGACTGAATCTGGAATCATTATCTGGATAATTACGTACATGTGTGGCTGCCTGGTGAGACCTACATCTGACTGAACAATCTAAGATTCATCAAGTGTTTTTCAGAAGCCATCGGGATGCTTATTAGGAAGCTACAGTGAACAAGAACGTGTGAGGCGTCCAAGCCACATAATGACACACTGAGGCTTACTTGGTGCGTTAGATAGCACTATTTAAACGTCTAATGTGTTATGTGTTAATCAGTGATCATTTATGAGGGTAATTACAGCTCCAATAAGCCACCGGAGGCACTGACGCAGACTCACATATTTTCACTCGATAAACTAAAGGGACATTACCAGTTTTCATTTCATGGTTAAATACCAATCTCCTTATACGATTGCGGGCCGGTGCCCAAGTGGAATTATTTTTTCCAACCAGTCATTCCTGTCCTCATGCAGCCAGAAACTAAATTAGATGTTTGTATTTGACAGAACAGCTTAACACAGGAAAAAAAAAAAAGAAAAGAAAGAGAGAGAGGGAGAGAGCGCATGGAAAATCCACAGTTATAGGTACCGGAACAGAGGGATTGAGTTTCGGAAAAACAATATGAAAGCTTGAATTTGCAGAGTTGATAAGAAAGTGTCTTCACATGAAGGCTGCTTTCACCTCCATGGTACAATAATATTGTTCCAGCATGGTAATATCATCACATCGTATCTAAAGTAAACATCATCAGGTAATCATATTAGTCGGACAAATCACCCCCCAGGGACGACAGCGGTATGTCTGCGTGTGTGTGTGTTTGGAAAAGAGAGAAGAGAGAGCAGGGATGTCATCCGAGCATGCCCGATTAGTCTTCAGGAGCTTGTTTTGACTACCAGGCCGGCCTTAAAGCCCCCCTCCGCCTGTTGTGACTGCACCAGTTACACTCCAGCTGAACCGCCTTCACCAGCTGTGCTTCCCAAACACTCACAGCGAGAACGCGGGCGGATTCTTAGCGTCCCGCAGCAATTGGTTGCAATTTGGTAAATCATCCAATTTTCACACGCATTCCTCAAGTGAAAATTTTCATGTACTCGCTTTCTGCAACCTGCCTAAAGTGCTTTTCCTTCCACTGATAAATACCTACAATTTTCCACGATGCTCTCCAACAAACACCAGCGAGCACGGCTGCACTTGCACTTTGCGTCGGGAACAAGCACAATAACAGCGGTGCCTTAGTGAGGCCAAAGCACTCCAAGTGAAACTCACAAACAGTTTTGGGCACGCCTCGGATCATTAGCCTCGTCCATCATGATGTTTGTGAGTCCATTCTTAAACTGAGCTGTGAGATCATTCGTAACCCCCTCAGTTGTGTTTTTGAAGGAAATGATGTTGAAAGTCTGGAAGAACACAAAGACGGAGAAGCAGCTTTTGAGTTCTGCAATGAAAGGTAGCACTTTGTCCAACTTTGTTTTTATATCCTGCATCAATTCAGGCAACAGTAAAGCTTTGGTTAAGCTTAGGAAAAGACCAAGAGTGGGGGTAAACGTTACTGAAGTACTACTGTACTCATTGTTTTACATTTTTAAAACATGTAATCATGATATTTAAGAAGCATAATGGAAACAGAAGATTGTATCTTCTACTAAAACCTTCTTAGTGCAACAGATTAGTAGTGAATTAATATCATTTCAAGAAGAGAAGTTGCAACGTAAGTCATAACACTTTCACCTCGACATTCAGACAACACTACAAAATGCTAACACAGAACATAAAGAGTATAGCGAAGGACTTTCAACACAGCACCAACATAAAACTGGCTTTTATGAAGCATTACCTGAATAAGGACCAGAGCTTTGGCTGAAAAACTGTCAGGACCTGACATTTATTGTTTGCTGTTTCAGGAGGATGTTATGCTTGAAATATCTAATTTAACGACTAAATAATCTGCATTTAGTTATAGAGTTTTTCTTTTAATCACCACCAAATGCCTACTAGATTCTTCACATGCACCAGACTAAATGATGCTGCGCATACTCGCACTCACAGCCAACTATCAGCGGTAAATGCTCACTAATAATCTAATAATGATCTTCAGCTCGGTCCAGCTGGAGGAAGGATCGACAACAGTACTTTCTGTGTCTCCTCGCATTCACCTCAATCAGTGGGAGGACCGATTCCTGTCCAAATCCAATGATCTCACCCTCTAATTACCGCCTGATACCCTTCCAGACATCTACCCACCTTTCTTGATGTCAGTCAAATGGATTTTTCCAAACACCTACACCTTGTGCACAGTCTGAGCGGAAATGTGGAACAGGTGTTCGGCCGATGGGAGGAAAGCGAAGGAGGAGGGCAGCAGAAAGGGTTAGTCGAGATGATATCTAAGGAGAGGGAAAAGTCAGGAGAGGACAGAGGTTGGCCTACATTCTAGTGGGAATTTTCACCCTTTGTGCACAGGCATTAGTGTATGAAGTTCTTTGAAAACATCGAGAAAATGAGGTCGAAACAGCCTCAGATCATTTGTCAGCTATGAATAAAATCTCTAAAACATCCATCCTGAAAAGTATTTACCAAAACAGGGACGACGTGTGCTGCATATCACTCAGTGGTGCGTTCAATAAAAACCCCACGACTGTTGCTTGAAGAGCCAGTGGTAGATGGCCTGAGGAGTGAGCAGGGAAGAAGGTTAGGTGAAGAGGGAAAATGTGATGTTATTTTCCTGGCCAGATAGAGAAAGTCTCCTCACCAGCCAGGAAATCAAGGCCTCTCTGCTCTGATACCACAGATAAATGAGAAGCATATCATCATGCGGGTCATAAATCAGCTCATGATGTCGATCTCACAGCTTTAGCAGAGCTGAAGACGTGCTCGTTGCTCGCTGCCACCACAATTAATGTTGTACGCCACTGTACAGAACGAGTTTATGTGCGTTTACTGCATGCAGTCAAGGCTAATTTACTTTCTCTACAGAGCACATACAAAACCACATTAATTTGCTGAGCCAGTGATTGCACTAAAACATCTATTTTTACTGCAGTTTCTGGAATGCAGTTTCATGAGCCTAAAGTAAAGGCTTGACACTGTTTTTATTCACCTGTTTTGAACGTTTGAAGTGACTAATGGCTGAGAGGGTTGTCAGTGTATCAGATTAAATATAATATAGATTAAAAAAAAATAAATAAATGTTGTGTATGAGTTTATAAAACCAGTTAAAGGTCTGTAAAGGTCAAAGGTCATAAAATACAGTAAGAACACAAATAAAATGAGCAAGTGTTCATGTGTCCAAATTAAAATGACCTTTTTTTCTTCATCCAAATGTGAAGCTACAAGCAGCCAGTTCACTTATCTTAGCATCAAGACTGGAAACAGGACTAAAACGGAGCCTGGCTCTGTGGAAAAGGTAACAAAATCTGCCTGCAAGCACCTTTAAAGCTCGCTAATTTGGTGCTCCTAGTGGTTTCCAGCCTTCATGCTAAGCTAAGCTGTTTCCATCTTCCTTTTTTTTTCTCACCACATCTGTCCTCTTTTCCAACAGAAAAGCAAACTGTTCATTTAAAGCGATTTCAGCGTTGAAACCTCGATGATGTGAGATGTTGTTTCTCTCTCTCTCTCGCAGAACAAAGACAGAGACAGGAAGACGGCCATCAGAAGCTAACAATGAGGACGCAAACCGCACGGATAAAATGCTCATCGCTTCCATCACAGTGCCTTTCGGTGATTTTACGATCGCTGCAACTTGAAGACAAACCAGACGTGCGATGCATTTCAGAGACTTTCCAAGGACTTCGATAGCACTTCCAGGACTTTGCAAGGAACTTTTTGATTACTTTTTGTATCGCTTTTACATGAATTTTTTATTTTATTTTCTAAGAGTTTTCAGAAGTTCAACAGTACTTTCAAAGAGCTTTCACATGCTTATCAAGACCATCATGAACCTTTCAGCAACACTTATAAGAGACTTTTTACTGTATTGTTCAGCGACTCTTTGCTCCGGAGTCTAAAGAACTTATGGCACATGATCGGAAAACACACAAAACCCACTAATTTGTATTCATCCAAAGCTGTGTGTTATTATTGTGTAAACTGAAATATAAATGTATATTTATGTGACATAACATTATATAATGAAACTATGTTATTTAACAGGCATATGGCATTTTTTGACAAACGATGTGCATTGTTTTATGGTACAAACGTTGTCTGTTGACAGTTTATGGCATTCCAAAAAAAATAATAATATGCTGGAACTCTTTGGTTTGGTATTGGTTATTTCTGATAATCATTTCTGAAAGTGGAAAATAACTCAAGATGACCAATAAATTGTTTGTATATCTGGAAGTAAATTTCATTCATATGTTGTTGTTTTTTTTCCAGCAGATTGTACTCTCAAATCCTGTCCTAATCTTTGCCAGTTCCATCCAATAAACATTATAAAAGTTTCCACTGTGAATTTCCAGTGAGCTGCAGACATTTTCTGATACAAAATGGTAGTTTTGTCATACTTTTGCAGCGAGTGGAGAGAAACTGAGTGAAATTCTTTCACCGAAGAAGCATCGCAAGCGTCAACTTTAAGCTTCTCCTGCAGCTCACGTAAACCTAGTTGCTTCTTTTACCTTCATCTTAGTCTTTCTAATTTTCTCTCTCACACATGCAGCTTCTTTTTTGCTTTCTATGCTCTCCTCTGGGAGACTCAGTTCTAGCCAGTGTGCTGTTGTGCTGCCCAGAGATTAGACAGAGACGAAGAGGGTTAGAAGATGAGGCGGACAAGAGAGGTTTAAGGAGCAGAGGAAAAAGCCAGCGGAGGGGGGAAAAAAAAAAAGCAAAATTGAATCTGCAGGTATGGCTACTTGGACATCTGCCTTTGTCCCTTCGCTGTCCTCTTCTTTACCTTTCCACATGCTTGTTCTCTCTTCTCCTCCTCTGCTCTTCCTCTCTTTTCCCTGGAGTGCCACTGGCCAGAGTCTGGCTGGTGATGGCTTTCCAGTGTGTTTAGCCACACACTGCTCACCTTCTCCTTACCTTGTCTGCCTATTTATCCATCCATCCATTGATCTATGCATCCATCTTCCTCATTTTCTATTTTCTCTGCAGCCTTTTCCACTGTTTCCAGCTCTCCCTCCCACATCACTTTCATTCAGCATCTCTCCAGTCTGTCCACTGCCTTAATGGAAAATGATCAGGGCATTAGCAATGAGGAATGCTGCCCCTCCTTTTGCTTTTGAACATATTGTCACATTTTTCATAATGAATTGCTTTTTCATCTCTCCTCTGTCTACTATACATTTTTCCTACACCATGACCTCTATTTTTACCTTCTTCATAGCCAGTGGACTGTTTTCTATAGTTCATAATCACTCGTTGGGTTGACATTTGTCTTGTCCTGCAGCAGAACATATGAATACAATCCCAATGAAAAGTAAATATGAGTGAATATGAGTGAGAAAGGTTCTGGTACTTTTCTAAAAAAATCCTTCCTATTATCATCTTGCGTAAAGAGTATTCTGTTCATGTCTCTGGTCTTCTAGTTTAGGATTCTACCATCACGTAACAGCTGCATTTCTCCAGCTATTTTCCACCATTAAGTGAAATGTAAATGAGCCGTTCTTTTAATGGAGGCTAACCGCTGCGCTGCACTGGTTTGGTGTTCCCAAATTATTTTTTAACAATGCTAACAAGCTGTTTCTGTGACCGAGGTGCCAATTATGGAGCTTTTTCCTACAATGTGACAAGTGCCTGGTGAAGAAAAACAACCAACAAAAATTCAAATGTCACTTCATGCTGCCAAGAGACAGTTTTTAGTGGAAACTGCTGAAAAACAAAGCAGATTTACTGTGTGTGCCATCTCACAAATACCCCCAAAGCTATAAACAGCACCGAACACTTGCAGTCAGAGTTAATGTGTCCGCCGAGGGACGTCAGCTACAGGACATTCACCCAAATGAAATAATTCACAACTGCGATGAAGGGAAAAAGGTGTAGATTGAAATTTGTGATGAAAGCAACAATGAATAATATAGTTAGTCTTGCAAAAAGCAAGAATCGCAGTCAAAACCTGAACTAAAGATAGTTGCGAAATCTGGAGAATCGCTTATATGAAAGACAAAATGAAGTTCTGGCATATTATGCTTGAAATGCCCTTAAACTCAAGTGCCAGAGCTGGTTTTTCCCCAGAAAACGTAACACGGGGAAACAAAAGACTAAATCTCAGGACACAGTTTCAGCATTAAGTGGTCCCTGCTGCTCGCTGGTTCCTGAGACAAAGATTTGAAAAGCGCCGTGCGTCTTGTTTAAAAGATCCTAGTCCTATTATGAGCCGATGAAACGTAGATAATCTTACTGCTGAGGTTTTTTTCTAAAGGAAGCAATAGCTTTGAAAAAAAAAAAAAAGCGCTGTGTGTCTAGTGTGTCCTAATGACTTCTGGTCCAGTTAGTCTGAGAGTCTGATCTCTCTAGCAGGCCGTCTGTCTGAACAGTGGAGAGGGGGAAAAAGGAACTGGTTCCTCCCACACAGACCAGATCAGGTTCCCCCTACGCCTACACACACTCACAATTTAGTACACACACAGATGACCATTTACACACTTGCACGCAGATGAACTTACATATGCACAAATAGATGGACGTACTGTAAGAATGGATGTGCGCGCGCTCACACTCGTGCTACGCAGGAAGATCTGTGATATAGCTTAGCTGTCTAATGATCTCTGTGTTTTACATTGATGAAACAGATCAGCTGAGAGGGCAAACTTCTGTGGCGTATTTAAGTGGGCGGTTTTTGGACCAAGGTGAACCGGAGCTTGGAAGATTGACTGGCTCCTATTATCAATATAACGGTCTGATAAAGATGCCCCCCACTGGAGATCTGGCATGCAAATACCGATATCGAAAGTAATAAAAAGCAGCTTTTGTGCCGAGATGTGCACAGGACTGATTGGCACCAGTGCCAGAGGGCTCAGAAATGTGGCCTGAAGACTATTTAGAGAACCAATTCAGCTGAAAACTGGCAGAACATAGGGATCTGTTTCTTTATAACCACCTACAAAAGGGTGTTCTCTGGTGAGTTTAACAGTAGCAGTCTTGATTTGCAGTGGTGTTGTGAGCTCCATGTCATGTTCTGTTACGCATCTTTGCTCCATCTGAACTCTGAGCTTCCTCAAAGACGGTCCTAAGGCAATCAGGAGTGAAAATTCTTATGACAAATGGCAAATTCCCCTATTTTTTCCATTAACAAACTTCCATCAGTTCCTCATATGTGAAGGTACAAGTTGCTGTTAGTGGTCGGTAATAGAGAGAGTTTTTGTGGCCCATAAGTTGTGTTTTAGTGTGAAGGTGCCCACAAACTGCTGAACTGAACCCAAAGTACCAGCATTATAATATTCATACCATGTGTGTCTTTGTCCCATCAACACTCACTTTATCATCTCGATGATATATTGGATGTTGTTTCAGCACCTCTCCTAAATGCAGCGCGAGAGGAGAAAGGTATCCTAAAAATGTTGCTGGTTTTTAAAGCAATATAATTATGGATTTTTCTGCTCCCTTGGGTGTAGCACAGCAGGCTCCAGACATAATACTGATTATCGAAAAATTGCCAATATAATTTGAACTTGGCAAACAATGGTCAATTCTGACATCCAGCAGACACTGAGAAGGTTTACCTTGGATTTTCATTCATTTATGAGTTTCTGGCCACCTGACGGATGTAAATCCAATAAACTCTCCAGCTCAGTTTTGTAAAATGTTCGGGGCGATATTCTTAAGCTGCTGTATGCTTCACTGCATTTACCAGCTACACTCAAAAAACAAACAAACAAAAAAAAGTGGAAAATCTGGCAGCAAGGGTGCCAATAAACCTTTTAAGAACAGTTAACCTACTGTATGTACCTCTGGTACAACATATAGCTGTTTTTTGTTTTTTTTTTTTTGTTTTTTTTACTTGTTGTAATTTAATGAAAAAAATAATAATTTAAAAAGCATACAAATATGACTTGCACAATAGCAACCACATCTAAGATACATACATGTAATGGAATCTTTAAAAAATATATAAATATGTTAGAATTTGTATCAAATCGGAAAACAATTCTATCATTTCACAAGAAAATCAGCTCAGTAGAAAAATTGTAGTAAAGTGACTACAAAATGCTTGTAAAAAAACAAAAACAAAAACAAAACAGAACAAAAAAAAAACTTGAGAAAAATCCACTGTCTAACAGAAGTTAATTTTGGACATTATTTACAGTTAAGGTCTGTTTTTTGTGGTTAACATGCAAATTTATTAAGTGATTTAACCAGTTATGTGTTACTACCAGCAACAATGGGGGATATACACAATTACAGTAACTTGTTCCCACAGATTTACAGTTAAAAAATCTAAAATCAAACCAAACAAAACAAAACAAAACAAAAAATTCCATAAAACTGCATTTTTACAGTGTAACTTTGTCTTTTTGCCATCTGGTGTTGGGCAGGTAGCGCACAGTAGATTTATTTTTGCTGAAAACAGCTGTCTGCCGCAGCTGAAACTGACATTGTGCCAGACTCAACCAACTGTAAATTTGTGAGTTGTACAACCAAAAAATGACCTAGAAGATGTTTTCATGTTGAGGTGAAGGGTTCCCCTCTGGGTTTCTCATACCAGTGATCCATCTCACAACACACAAAATCTTCTGAGTTGTTGTTAATGGAGTATGAAGGTAAAAATAGTGATGAATGCAACTTTTACTGGGTCACTTCTGGAATTATTGAAACATTTATTCCAAATAACTGCTCGGCTTTTGTATAACATCTGTCTTAGCTCTACACCCAATTCAACTGTTGACTAAGAAACTGAATGTAGAGTTTTGAATTCTCCAAACAAAACAGAATTTTTGTTATTAAAGATTTTTTTATTTTTTTAAAGCCTTCACTCAGATGCATAAACAAGTTATTTCTACATTTCTCAACTATCATAACATGAGAATCAGTGAAGGAGACAGAAGCCCTTCCTGTTTTTTTTCCAACTCATCCATGTTTTTGCGCTCTGATGGCACCCGGCAGAATAAGGTCTATTAATTAAAGATGGATAGGTAGCAGTGCTTTTCCTGAAGCATGACCTCCTGTTGACATTGGAGCAGAAGTTTCCTCTGGTGTCCTCTTGTGCTCCGTGGGCCTGTTGGCCAACTTCCTGCCTCCACTCGAACTGTCTCAATAAAACATAAAGAACAAAGATATAAAAATGTGGAAGAAAGAGCGAAATGCACCTTTAGGAACATTAGTCTTTCTAACCCAACTGGGACGTGAACTGCGCAAACACATACGCATGCACGCAAACACACACACGCGCACACACACACGGCAGGAGGCTAACTGCTCCAAGTGGGAGCTGTGCTGCTGAGGGCCGGATGAAAGGAAACACTAAAACTACAACGAGGGAAAGACAGGTGGCCAGTTTGGCAGC